CCATACACATCCGGTGTAAGCTTTAATACAGGGAATGCTATCATATGGTGTTTATATTGCTTTATTAATTTTGAAAATACACTTTTTATTGATACATTGAATGTAAATACAAAAAAATTGTTAATGTATAAATTAGAAACAATCGTACATTTTTCATGACAGAAGTGTATACTAAATATTATTTTTATTCTTTAATCTTTAGTTTTAATTAAAAAAAAACTTAAAAATTATAACGAGTTAAAATGAACAATCAGTGAAATATATTGTGTAATATTAATTTCAAGATAATACACACTTGACATATTAACTAATTTTATCAATATAAAACATTGATTTCATACTTATCATCAAAATGTTGTACCTCTTATTATCAGTTTATTGAATTTATATAAAGTTAACTCTATTTTTATATTTGAATTAATTTTTAAAATTATATAATAATTTTTAATAAAATGAATCGCGATTTCAGTGGAAAAGTTGTTGTGATTACGGGTTCGAGTAGTGGTATCGGAGCCGTCACTGCAGTCGAGTTCTCTAAATCGGGCGCTCAGGTCGTGATCACCGGAAGAAACGCTCAAAATTTGTCAGAAGTGGCCAAAGATTGCCAGAAAGTATCGCCGAAAGGATTGAAACCACTGGAAGTGTTGGCAGATATTAGTAAAGACGATGATTGCAAGCGTCTCNCACCGGAAGAAACGCTCAAAATTTGTCAGAAGTGGCCAAAGATTGCCAGAAAGTATCGCCGAAAGGATTGAAACCACTGGAAGTGTTGGCAGATATTAGTAAAGACGATGATTGCAAGCGTCTCATCAATTCTACAATTAAATCGTTTGGAAAACTGGATATTTTGGTGAATAACGCCGGCTCTGGAAATGTTACGACAATAACCGATACAAATGTTATGGAAAAATACGACAATCTTATGAATACAAATCTGCGTTCAATTGTCTATTTAACTCATCTATCGGTTGAACACTTGGAGAAAACTAAAGGAAATATAATAAATATCTCGAGTACTGCCGCACATAAACCCGTATGTATTTTTATTAAAATATTTATTTATATTAAAATTATAAAATTGTGTTTTAATGACAGAACGGACCGATGTTTGGATACTGTATGTCAAAGTGTGCTCTAAATATGTTCACTAAATGTCTGGCACTGGAATTGGGATCGAAAGGCATTCGTGTTAATGTAATTAGGTTTGCATTGTTTACATTTATTTATGCCATTAATCATACAAAATGCTGTAATGCATAGTCCGGGTGCCGTTCGCACAAACTTTGGTCCAGCGATGGGCACCTCTAAAGAGCACTACGAACTCCTATTGGAAGACAGAGCGAAGACATATCCATTGAGAAAAGTGGGCGAATCTATTGATATCGCAAATATGATTGCGTTCTTGTCTTCAGACGAGTCTTCATTCGTGACGGGAACCGATGTGGTCGTCGACGGCGGCGGTCTTCACGCACCAAAGTCTGCATTTTCTTATCGTAACAAATAATAAATGTAAATCAATAAAAGTATCTAAAAATATATTATGAGTAATTAAAAGACAAGATTTAATGATATGATTATTAAATAAACTAAATTAGCATTAAATAATTGTAATATTTAAATTTTTAATGAATACGTTATTATGTGAATATGTAATACTTTATATAACAGTAACTATAGATGACCTAGATAAATTATATAACTTATTAATTTTAAATTTACAAATAACGGATAAACGTTTTGCTAATAAAACTATTGATTAGTAATTGACAATGATTACATGCTTTTTTATAGAACTTAACAAACTTTGTTATTTAAGTTATTTGTTTAATAAAATAATTTATATTTCTCATGTGATTTACATATTTGACATATAAAGTACAGTAGTTTTTACATACAGTTTTACATACAGTGTTTTGACATACAGTAGTTTTTGTGCTGTAGTTTTAATTGTTATAAAAGTATATATTTGTAATAATAAAAGTTTATTTCAAGAAGTATTTGGAAAATATTCTGTATTTACAAATGTTTTGAGAAAATTGACTGTAATATTACATTGAGATGCTGTACATATAGTGTCATATTTGTTGGGAATATTTTATATTTTATTAATTTTGTTTTTTAAGATTTAATTTTGAGCGCATATTATCTGCCGTTTAAAATATAACTCAAGTTTTTTATATAATAGAAAGTCTTAAAGAAATTCATATAATAAGTGGTAAGACTTTCCTAGAAATATGAGAAATGCATTGCATACAAACCCGGGCTCAAATACTTGGATTTATGGTTTTTATTTGAGCAGGCTAATTGGTCACACCTCAGTATAACATTAGTGCACAGTCTGTATAGCGTTTATGTTTTTTATGCAAAAGATGCACTTTTTTTTTGCACTTTGCGGCAAAGGCTCGTAGAATATTACATGCAATTTGTGCCATGCATTGCAAATACAGCGAACATTCAGTGTTTGGTTGTCTCTGTAAATGTGGTCAAAGGTCAGCCGCCAAAACTCTGTCATAACTCCTTTACACAATTGTCTAATAAACAATACATACATCCTTTCAAACAAGTAGTCCTTCGGTTCCTGCCATACAAAACACATTCTTTCAATAGTTTTCTAGCAAAATCAAAATCACATTACATTTAATGGCCAGTGATATTGCCTTCAAATGCGAAATAACGCTAAATCGTTTAAACTCTCGACAACGATGCTTTAAAACATAAAATTAAAAATATCCAATTGGTTACCTATAGGACACCCATTGCGTTAGACAATTTTCATTAGTTCGCAACTTAGCACCGATATTGTCTACATTTTTAAAGGAGTTTTAATGTACTTATCCCAACCCCCAGACCAATGAATGGATCAGTTTATCGACACAAAGGATTAAAAACTAAACATACATTCATTTGTTGTGTGAATGATAGTAGAGAAAAGTTATAAAACTTTTTAAGAATATTTTAACGATTATTAATTAATAAACCATGTTTTTAAAACTTATTTATGTATTGATTTCGTTTTTAAAGCTTATTTGTGCATTGGTTTCATTTTTAGAGCTTATTTGTGAATGGATTGCGTTTTTAGTATTACTTATTTGTGTATTGATTGCAGTTTTGTGGTTCGGTTTCCAAATCTATGTGTGGAAAAACGAGGGGTTTGTATCGAGAACCTGGCATTTCTAGCTCCCCAGACCTATTGATACGCTTATGAAACAATTCAACGTTTCAAGAGTTTGTATATTTGGTCACAACTTTTATAACTTTTGTTTTAAAAAAAGTCGTCCAAAATTATTTTAATCTCTCTCTCTCTCTCTCTCTCTCTCTCTCTCTCTCT